ATTTTCTCATGGAAGTGATTTGTGTAAATATTATGACAAATAAATGTCTTGAACCGGAATCCGTATTATATCTTTCAGGCATGTCTTTGCCTCGTCTATGTATTTGAGCTGCTAATAAAGTGTTTCCATTGAACGGTGAAATATAAAGCAATTACACATTATGTGTATACAGTGCATATAATCTTAATAATAATAAGCTATATAGGACAATTTACAGAGCGCCATCTAGTCCTAAGCTAAGCAGAGCTTGTGTTATGGGTACTAGACAACTGATAGACTAAGACTAAAATTAAAAACATTAAATATTTTTTTTGTAAACAAACCTAAGATTTATAGATAACACCCAGAATACAAACAATCATACTCATGTATCAGTTTATACCGTGCGAGGAATCGAAACCGCGACCATCAGGGATAATGCGGTGTGCTAAACCGCTAAACAACATATGATAATACGAAGTCCTAACACCTTGGTCCTTCGGAACGGCAATACATAAAGAGTATGTTGTTACAGTTGTTACTACTGTACATCAGGAGGGCCGTCTCCTACTTTGCCATTCATTTTTATATAAAAAATATCTGTAGAGTTTATATAAATTGTTTTGTAATCATTAATCAACAATTCATATAGCTCTAAAGATATTTTAATCAAATTAAATTAAAATAAAATAGTGGGTCCTGATTTTCTGTTACAAATTTACCAACAGGTTGATCAACCAGTTGGTCGATTTGCTCTTGAACAGATCACTTAACTATACTTAATGTAATTAACGTTACCCTACTTTCTATATATACCTACAACAAACCTTTTTATTGTTAGGTATATGACATCAAGAGACAGGTCCAGATAGATAGATTAATCAATAACTATCTGAATCTCCCGGCGATGCTCGTGTGAATTCTATTAGTATTATTATAACTGTTTTTTTTTTAATTTTATAGTAATATCTGCTGCTTCTTTTGTGGCTTTTTATCCTGTAGATGTGTTCCATTGCTCTATTTTTATTTTTTTTATATCATTAATATTCTTATACCTACTACTTATTGTATGTGCCCGTAATACCCATTTACCCTATTAATAGTAATTATATATAAATAGTAACACTTACTTATTTCTATTACTATGGTTTTCAAGACTCCTGCTGCATACTCTAAAAATATTTGTCTATCTACTGTTGTTTTTTTTTAATTTTATAGCATTATCTGCCGCTTCTTTTATGGCGACATCCTTTTGGCCTATTTTTTTTTATTCTACTGTTTTGTTTGTAAACCAATTCAAATAAATCAAACACATAATATAATGCCGTAGTAAAAATCACAACCAATGGTCAATCAAACCAAAAATCATTAATCTAGCCGCTTATCAACGCAAAATTTTATATATTAATATTTTTTCCCTACCGTATCAGTTCATATGCATTTAACATGTTTAATTAGTTTCTGTATCTGGTGCTATAAAGTATATAAATAAATATGCTAAAAAAACTTCTAATGATAGCTTTTCTCATATATTTTTCATGTACAGATAACGAGTTACATTTTTATTAGTCAGATATAGCATTTTCATAGTTGATATGTAGACTACGTCTCTCCTATAGATTGCACTATGAATATAAAAATCCAGACGCGACGTCTGGACGTGGGATACCAAACGGTTGGAGTTTGCACATTTTAAGAACCTGTCCCGAAATACAGTCTAATTTTAAAAAAAGCAGTGGGTTCACAATTCTGTTTAATTTCTTTGTCATTTAGGAACTCCGTCAATACATATTCTTTGTCGTTTAGGAACTTCGTTGTTAGAAAGAGGTCTGTAACTTTATTATTACATTTATTTATCACGGCCTCGGTGGTCTAGTAGTTTAACACCGATGGTCGCGGGTTCGATTTCTCGAAAGGTACGAACATTTGTATTCATAAGTATGATTGTTTGTATCGGTCTGAGTGTTTTCTATGTCTATTATGAATTTACAAAAAGAAGTATATAAATATCGGTTGTCTAGTACCTATAACACAAGCTGTGCTTAGTTGGCGCTTTTGAATTGAATTATCCAGAGATTTCAATTAGTGATATATGATAGTGTTAATTATAATTTCATAATCGAGTAAATCAGAAACTAAACACACTCATTATAAAAATATAAGGAACTTTTAGAGCTTCTCTACTTAATTATTATATTCAGTACTGTAAAGCACAAATGAAAACTATAATATTATTACTTATTGTTAATTTTAAAATACGTTAAGAGAGAAAGTTTGTAATGGAATGAAATTAACTTTAATATATAATATTCGACCTTCTAAATAGTTGAATATGGTATATAATTGCATTTTATGGGTTAGGTACTTGTGTAGAATTGTAGAAGCGTAAATTATTTAGGTACTAATCTATACTGCACGAGTTGGTTTAAACATGGGCATGTCTAGTCGGGCGGACGCGTTGACAGTGCGAGGAGAGGAGAGGTAAGGGGCCAGGGGAAAGGGGCAGGGAATACTCGAGATCGATCCGCGCCGGCTGCCGCGCCCTTGACCCTCGCCTTGCAGCCAGGGTGGTCGGTTCGGGCATGTTGTGCATTATGAATATGCAGGGGCGTACAAACTAATATATAAAATTCTTAAATCACAGGTTTCGTGTATATACTCCACCGAAACGGCGCGGCGTGACCGATTTTGTTGAAATTTTCTATGTATATTCAGTAGGTCCCTTAAGTGTTAAGTGTGGATCACCCAAAAAATATTGTTACACTTTTCGATTTTTTGAATTTTTATTTTATTATGATAACCTAACCTAACATTGAATAATACATACAACACTAAATTTTCACCCATCTATTACCAACCCCTATTTTTTTTATATAGATTTTATTATACATTGGTTAATATTACTGTTAGAGTCAGACCACTATAGTACCTATGTATTTACATGGGCACACCTACGTGTGGAGAACAGGGAGAGCTTCTACCCCATGATATGCCTTACCATCATATACTATGTTAAATATTGAAAAAAGCAAGTATGCACGCCTACAACAAAATTACAACAAAATTAATTATACTTCAATAGGGTCAACACCTCCCCTACACTACCCTCCAGAGTCAGAAACTGGATACGCCCATGCCTATCTATCTGTCGAATTAGAATAGTATTATAGAATAGATTAGATGTAGAATAGAATTTGAATGTTTATTCTTAATTTCAGTCTCACTTGTGATCCTCCATGATCCATAAAAATCGATTCATACTATTGTATAGATCGAATAAAATAAGGGTGGGCACATAACAATAATAAAAAAAATGCCGGTCCCTATGTGAGAAATAAGATTTTTCAATGTGGTCTTCAAAGTGTTCAAACTCTGCAGCAGTAAGTAATTTATACAACACCATGTAATGCTGAGCTGCAGAACTCCCAGCATCCAGACCCAACACGTACACCACTTCGAACTGAAAGTATCTAATATATAAAATTGCATATATTCACGACTGTTTCCCTAGATGATGTGCTGACTAACTGGCGACATTGTAGTAAACTTGACGTGCCAACATTCGTATTGAAGTAGTAGGAAGCGAATTTACTGGCTGTTTGCTACTGGAGTTTCCTTCACCTGAGAGACAGTAAAAAATATAAATTACCTATCAAAAAGATTTTATGGAACTCACGATTCTAAGCTGGGGTAATAATCCAACACGCGTGGGGAAGGGAATTGTTAGCAATGTAGATTAATAACCTCATCGTCAGATTGACCTCCACGTGATAAATTCCTGGAGAATTTATCACGATGGGCTAACTGATCTGACCTGATGCTCATCTTATCATCTTCCATTGGTGGTCCGCCAGCGTCAACCGTTAGTGCAGGCGGAAGCACTATTCCATTACAATCCAATAAAAAAAATCCCATCACGCTATGAAACTGAAAGTGAGATCCAGAAATAGTTACAACTCACAACTATGATACACTCACGCACTATACTAGACGCCGCTCGCGCCGTGGGTGTGTCTGTACTAATTTTAGACTATTACATTTGGAAGAGCACCGTTGTAGGTCAGTAAACTATAGAAAGTCTATTTAAGACGTCAGGGAACACCACTCGCGTAAGGTCAACTTTGTTTTCATTCCACATGTGTTTCAATGCCAATGATCTTTAAATCCTTCAATATAACATAAACATATCCAATACAAACAAAATCACAGTACTATGTATTTATTCCTACAGGTCTTTTACCATTAAATATTATAAATAAAAGTTACCTACGTATTTATAATTACTATGGTACCTATCTCATTTTCTCTAGTATTTTTTTATGTACTATAGTTTACAATGGGGTCATCTATGTAATGGGCTGACATGCGATAAATTAGGCAATACAATAATAATGTAAATGGAATATGCCAAGCCCTGTTTACAACCAATCCATTAGTAATATTGGATGCACCCACAACACAAATTAATAGTGTAGTACTTATTTTTATTGAAGATTATGGTATTAATTGTACCAGAAGTACAATTAATACTATAATTGTAGTAAATTTTAGTAATGGTATACGCTGACGGGGCATTAGTGGAACGAATTAACAGAACCTGCCGAAATCACTAGAAATGAAAACCACGAAATTTCTCAGAGACTTACCCTTCCAAATAACCTGCCGCCTTGACAAAAAGAAATTGGTAATCGTATGTTCCCAGTTTTTATCGTGACTCTTATATATGTAGAACTCTAGATTGTGACAGTTATGCAAATGAGAAATGAAAAAGTAAACTACAAACATTTCATGATCCGTTACTTTAGAAAATAAACTCAGGCATTTTAATAACGCCTTATGTTTATGACTATGCACTCGTGTTAGAAACTAGGTGATAAAGCAAGCCTGACTAGTCATATCGAGATATTTAGCACGAAATGCTCTTCATAACGCACGTACATCTCTTTTACTTTTACAGTTTTAGGAGACAATAAACAAAATGCATTGAGGAATAGGGAGTTAATGAAAATAACTTTTTTATATACCGGTATATAAATTATCTTTTATTAAAAATGTTAGTAAATTTCATAAATAAAACTCTGTCAAATTTATATTTACGTAATATGCATATTACGACACCTTACATCCTATTTAAATACTGTTCTTAAATTATAGATCACAAGCGTAATTTGAGCCACCCATTCGCTGGGACTTGGTGTAGGGCATCATAAGTTAGAATTAGCCATACTCAAGGCTTAGAAGCACTTCCTGTGCACAATTGAGGGGCCAGACTCGTCATATTCCTGTTTCGAGATCCACATCTGTTGGAAGGTTGAGAGGGACGCGAGGATGGATCCACCGATCCATACGGAGTATTTCCTCTCAGGTGGAGCAATGATCTTGATCTTCATTGTGGATGGGGCAAGAGTTGTGATTTCCTTCTGCATACGGTCGGCGATGCCTGGGTACATGGTGGTACCGCCAGACAGTACTGTGTTGGCGTACAAGTCCTTACGGATGTCGACGTCACACTTCATGATAGAGTTGTAAGTGGTCTCATGAATACCATTAGCTTCCATACCCAAGAATGATGGCTGGAAGAGGGCCTCTGGGCAACGGAATCGTTCGTTACCGATCGTGATGACTTGACCGTCGGGAAGTTCATAAGACTTCTCGAGGGAGCTGCTGGAGGCAGCTGTAGTCATTTCCTGCTCGAAGTCAAGGGCGACGTAGCAGAGCTTCTCCTTGATGTCACGGACGATTTCACGTTCAGCTGTGGTGGTGAACGAGTAGCCGCGCTCAGTGAGGATCTTCATCAGGTAGTCTGTGAGGTCACGGCCGGCCAAGTCCAGACGCAGGATGGCGTGAGGTAATGCGTATCCCTCGTAGATGGGCACTGTGTGTGAGACACCGTCGCCGGAGTCCAACACGATACCGGTGGTACGACCAGACGCGTACAGGGAGAGCACGGCCTGGATTGCTACGTACATGGCGGGTGTGTTGAAGGTCTCGAACATGATCTGTGTCATCTTCTCTCTGAAACACAAATATTGTAATTGTTAATTACATCTGCGAGTAAGTTACCATCAATTCATTTATTATGTTTTGGTATCCCATTAAGTTATTTTTATACTATATTGATTGGAGAAAAAACTTAGTATAAAATTTACCTGTTGGCTTTAGGGTTGAGGGGGGCTTCTGTGAGCAGCACTGGGTGCTCCTCGGGGGCGACACGCAGTTCATTGTAGAAGGTGTGGTGCCAGATTTTCTCCATGTCATCCCAGTTGGTGACGATGCCGTGCTCGATGGGGTATTTAAGTGTAAGGATGCCTCTCTTGCTCTGGGCCTCGTCACCGACGTAAGAGTCCTTCTGTCCCATGCCGACCATCACGCCCTGGTGGCGAGGTCGGCCTACGATCGATGGGAACACAGCACGGGGAGCATCGTCCCCGGCGAAACCGGCCTTGCACATACCGGATCCATTGTCGACAACCAAAGCAGCTACTTCCTCGTCGCACATTTTGAATTATTCTGCAAAAAATAAATTTAATTAGTGAAGAAAATCTAACGTACACGGGCTATATATGGATAGAGGTTTCATTTTATTTTATTCTATTTAGGGGAAACAAAATATCGTTTCTTACAGTTTTAGATGATTATGAGGTAAAATAAAAAGTATTCTTGATTCGTTATAAAAAAAATGGTTACAAACCATGTAATTAATTTATATAGTTTTTCATCTAGTTATAAAATAATTTCGTAATAGTTATAATAAATAATTAATTTTAAGTAGTTACATAATAAAATAAAACGTATTATCACTATCTATAGAATACATAGCAACACATTACGCATGAGTCATGAATGCAGGACGTAGATGATAAACGTTATTCATTATTCACTAACTCATTTATTCTTAAACTGTTGAATACAAAAGATTGTTAAACATTTCACTGATAAGTACCTATTGTTAGCTCAAATAGAGTAAGTTGATACCTAATTCACTTTAGATATAATCTCCATAGCTATAAGTTTTGATATTGCAAAAACTGAAATAAACAGGTAGAAAAAAATTGTTATCAGATATCAATATCGATAAGCCGTGTGCTGCAGGGCGCAACTGATAACACACTCCCAATGGATTCCAATATTTTAAATGATAAATTAAACAGGGACATGAATTCGAATCCCGGCGTAGAAATTATAATTTTTAATTTAATATTTAACTTGGACTTAATTTATTAAATAAAAGTAATATAAATATTATATTTATTTTATACATTACTTATGAATGTAACTATGTAGTAGAAATTAAATTAAAAATACAAAACTTTAAAATAATTTACGTTAATAATTTCCGGTTTGAAAAAAAACCATGGATAATAGGAAAATCCAATAGAGACACTTCAATTTCACTTGTTCCTAATTATATAACAGTCCTTATGTAACAAAAACACCGGTTCACAATTTGTTGTCAAAATGATATTAAAACCGCCACTAAATGAAATAATTATAACAAAGCCACAACAAAAAATAATTCCTTCACCTACCTATTGGTGGATTTAAAAAAAAAATCAAATTAAACTTACTGTAGAATATAAAGTTAATGACTAGGTAAAGTACGACTCTACGCTGCAACAGCTGATTCTAAATGAATACGGCGACGTGAGGATAAACTATATAAAACGTGCCTTATCAGACTTCACATACTATCGCCAACAATTTACTGTGCACCAATAGCGAGCAGTCTCAATTTTTGTCACCATATATGGAAATGCGGTGCCGTATGTGTACATAATTGTGATAATAAAATCATCGCCTTGATAAGACGGCCAACCTGTGATAAAATACCAAGCAGATAATACCAACTTGCCAACAAGTACATACAAAACTAATAAAAACACGTCATGCAATCCGGTTATGAAGTGATTATTATTTGATACATAGCTAATCAACAAACTAAATAGATAAATAAACAGTAATACAATTACAAGAATTTATACTTACTAACCAATTGCTTAACCAATATTTAAAAGGAAGAAAATATAAAAAAAAAATCTCACAGTATTATATAGTTGGTCAAAACTGAATACCACTGACCACGACAGCGCTGGACCTAGTAACTGAAGGATTCATGTATTTAATTTAAATTAGCTATAATTAAAACTGTGATATTTATTAAAATTCTATATTTTCCTCTATTAATCAGACTCATTTTCCTGTGTTAAACCATTGTTTTGAATACATATAAGTATAGAAAATGAATAATATTATGTTTTAAAGTGTCTTTATCAAAATATTGCAGGCATACGCTAGAAATATCCATTACCACAGCAGAAGTAGATAACGATAATCCTGATGTTTTCGCGTAAGTCTAAAGATATTTAATGATCAATGCAAATTATTTAGTATTATCTAAGAATGTACCAAAGTATAATTAGATTTTAATCTTGACAAAATTACCTTGAACAATTAATACGGTAATTATTTCTATCTATAGCAAAATCAATGCAGAAATTGCGAAGATATAACGACTGCAACAACTAAATGCAGTCCAATTGAGAACTCTGTCATTTTCAAGTCAGTGCGAAACATTAGTTAAATTTGAAATATTTAGAATGCTTGTATTGATGAATTTTAATTTTAATTATTTTTTAAACAGATTAGCTAAATAGTGAAGTTTATGCAATCTATTATATTTCTAATTATATGTATATGTGTTCTTAATTATACATTTATGTATATACCTATAATATAGCTATGTAGTAATGCTCTTGCATGTAGTGGACCCTTCTAAAGCATGGTCATTTCGTTAATTATACTAACACAACAATAAAATATGAAATGTATGCTAAAGCGAAAAAGATCGAAGAAAGCAGCAGCAAATAGGAAAGGAAGGAATAATACTATTTCACAAGAGGGAGAGCATTGTTAGTAATGGGAAGTAACAACACCACTGCTAACAATGTATGGTACATTGCCCTTATGTGCAACCTCGCTTCGATTTTCTTTGTGCTTTTACGTATACTAATATGTGAAAATTTAAATTTGGAACAATTAATTAACTAATGATCACATTGCTAGCAGTGTACTATAGCAGATGACCTCAACACGGTATCTGGAAACCATCGTAGTAAATTCCTGATGAATTAGTGGCGATGGCCTAATTGACCTGACTTCACGTTTTAATCATTCTGCACTGGTGTCCGCTAGAATATTGAGTTCGCGCACGCAAGTGCACCATTGTAATTTTATAAGAAAAACTTAAGTGATATTTTAAGTAATCTTTATTTGGTAAACAAGGGAATCAATTTTACCTAAGGGGGGGGGGGGGAATTGTTGGTAACGATAATTATTAGCCCTATCTATTGCTAGTAATGTACCTTGTTTAATTATGGATGATGGAATGGTCCACCAACCTGCGCTGACCGTGTACGCTGGCGGGGCACCAGTGGAGTATGATTAAATGAGCATGAAGTCAGGTCAATTAGCCTATCGTGGTAATTTTTCTTCATTTTGGGGTTTCCAGAATATTAGTAGAGAAGTAGAATCCTCACGATGGGGTAACTGACCTAAGTTCACGCTCTTTCTATCTAACTCCACTGTTACCATTTTTGTTTTCTAACGGAAATTTGTATATTTAGCAATAACGTGGCATGCTATAGACAGTCTTACTAGACATTTGACCGTATTCGTTTCGAAATGCATTTCTCCAACAATTTTTAGCTTTCTCTGTGAGTCGGCAGTTTTGCGCTAATTACCACAGACGTCTGACATTAACCTAAAAAGACTTAATTTCATATACTGATAAGTATATATTATATTTAATTAGACAACTTGTTTGTTACACGTTCTTCACAATATAATAAAGCAGTTAGAAACTCATTATACCAATCGTTAGACTTAGTAATAACAACTAAAACAAAAACAGAATGGAATTTTCATACTTAGCTAAGTTTATTTTAGGTTTTATTGTATAAGGTTTACTATCTGAACTTGGTATTCCCAAGGGGCGTGAACATGAAATTAGACAATAAGACATTGTGTGTCGGTTTAAATTTCTGATTAATTTTCTTGTGATTGAAAACAACAATAACAATTATAATATGAATATGCGGTTCGCGCTGTACAACATTGAATTTAGGTTTTCGGCGATATGTGAAGATGTCAACTGTAAAGTTCACCACAACATCGACAGTTACCATTTCCTCTGAGTTCTCTACCCTCGATTACTTTGGTATAAAAGTTGTTTCATAGGTAAATTACCTATAACGAGTTAAAAATCATCTGCCTGGGTACCTCAGTCTCAACAATTTCAGCCGCCAAGCCGCATGGAATGGCAACGCATGATTTGTATCAAGGGTATCACATGATAACGTGATGTCCATAACTGTGTGTATGTAGGCGACGGTTACCATTTACCACCAGTTTAACCATTTCAATTACATAAAAAAGGCACCTATCAGATAATTCTATCACATGAGCTAAACAGTGTGTAATGGCCAGTACTGTATCTACCATAAACCACAGAAGTTATTGGGTTACGACTTACGACCCGCGTTCTAAGGGGCTCGTCTCAAAAACAAGTTAAGTATGGGTTTTAATCTCCACGTGGGTGTAATACGAGTATAAAACAAACCAGTATTGCTTACGGTATACCAACGTTTTACATATATGACGCTCAGAATGACAGTCAGCCTTTTTGATTATATATTCTAATTAATTACCGTTACAACTCTCAATTTAAAGGTGAACGTGAAATGCCAATATTTATTTATATGTACACGATACTTATCTTTGTGGTATACTTACATACAGTGACCTACATCTCTGGAAACATTGATTTATTAAATGCGTAAATCATTCGTTTGTCTCGTTTTTCAGGCTGATTAGTGTTAGGTATATTTCTTTTATTGACTGATTTAATCTTGGCCATATAAAGCGAATTAAAAAATAAAATATATTTTACGCAAAATGATCATACATTATGCTTAAAACATATTATATTTTTTATTTTAATTTATACATTTATATTTTATTCGAAAAAGATATTCCTCAAAAATTTTGACCGGAAAAGACTCCTCAGTGGAATAACTTGCTACTAGAATACAAAACCATTTTCACAGTTCATAATTCCGAAATTATTTTTATTGATTATGTATCTAGTAAGAGAACCTATCATTTCAATTACTTTTTTTTTATAACATGCAGCTTACATACTGGCAACTTATAAATATATTATAACTATTGAAGTTTTTGTGAAATTTATGTTCCGAATGCTATCTGTTCGAAAGTTAAATTTATTTTCTAACGTTATACTCTCGATTCCAAACATAAAATGAGATAAAACTTCAAAACTGCATTCAATCAGTAAATTACAAAGAATATATTTTTCTTGAACAGAGTTGTCGTAATATTTTGCAGTTGTCTGCGGGTATTGATTGCATACGGGTGGTCGGGGGCGCGCCATAGGGTTGCACTTGATGACTCAACGTCTGCACCCTCCCTGTTTCTATAGTAAAAGTTAAAAATCCATACCGTCTTGAAATTGTGAGTCTGTCTGGAGAATTATATTTACATTAGCAAGGATTAGAAATAGAAAACAAACAGTTGGAAAGGTTTTACACCGTCTATTGTAAACTATACAGATCATTTTAATTTGTTTTTAGGACTATTGTATTGAAACATCTCTAGAATTCCCATAAAAAATTTTGGTCGAATCAATATGTTATTGGTTAAAGAACAAAATTAGAAAGTCGTCTGTTTTGGTACCTCTGCTTCATCTAATTTTACCGCTAAGCAGCATGCTTTATATACCCATCTATTTTTCGTCTTCACCCAAAAACATATTATTCTGCGAAAATTTATATGACTGCCAACACATTGCAAATATAAATAAATGTTTTATTTGGATCCTCAGCGTACAAAATGTGAAATAAATAAAATAAAACATATAATAAAAATAGAATACAGTAACAATAATGACCAAATAAACTGCGCCACAAGTGTCAAATAAAGCATGTATATTGGCTGTATGGGCGCAGTTCCTTCGTCTTTCCATTAAAGGATACACAAAACAAAAAAAAAAGCATGTATGTTACCGAATTGTCTGCTGCAGTAATGCAAAAAAGCCGTAGCTCAGTGTGATTTTTGCCTATGGAGCAAAGATTAGGGGTACCATGAATGTCTATTCATATACTCGTGAGTATATGTATACATATATACCTATAGAGACGACAGTTGTCAGTACATATCAGGTGGGTCTTATGGATGATAATGGAATGGTGCAACCGCCTGCGCTATCGGTTTACGCTAGCGAGGCACCGATGGAGGGCGATAAGATGAGCATGAAGTCTGGTTAGTTAGCCCATCGTGCTAAATTCGCCTTGAATTTAGCACGATGGTTTCCAGAGGGAACCACGTAGAAGTTTACCTTACTACTATTATACATGCTACATTGCTAACAATCCTCATCCCTTCCTCTTTTAGGAGGGTCGTCAACAAGTTTAACATTCAATTTAAAAAATGTACATATTTTTCATATATCATATGTAACTGTGAGACAAATGCTTACCATAAAATACAAACCCATAAACGAAAAAACAAAAATATTTTTCCCACTACTCACTTCACACAATGACTCATCAACAAACGTTAACTCATATCAGTGAGTCATA